GCCTCTCTTCCTTCTGCCTGCCCTTGCAGACAAATCCCTCCACCAGCCTTTTGTTGCAGGAGGGGACGTGCTCAACTCCTTCAGCAAGAGCTTCTCCCTCTTTGCTCTCTCCGTCTTCTCCTCACTTCGGGCTCCTGCCCTCTGCAGCACAAGACCTGTTGGGCCCCACAGGGAATTTGCCACCACTCTGGACATTCCCACGAGTTGTCTGTACCCCCAGGGCTGTGGGGATTGAGGTGCCAGCGGAGGCACTCACATGGCAAACGCCCAGGTCAGAGCCAGGTGAGATGCCACATTCGATAGGTGAGAGAGAGGGTGAGCAACCCATAGCACCTCCCAACATCCACCTTCCTGCACCCTGTACCACCTCCCCATCCTGGTTTCGTCCATCTTCCAGTGCTACTTGGAGCGCTTTTGGCTCCACATTGCTCCTGCTGCTTGAGCAGAAGCTCTTCCTGACACTCCCTGAGTTACCCACCCACCACCTGGGGACACAGATCTGCCCAGGAATAACAGAAGAGCTTCCTACAGCCCGCTGCTCTGGACCAGAATTTGGTGGTCCTTTGCTGGCCTTGCTCGCTCTCCAGACCACACAGTACCTCACACTGCCACAGCCCCAGAAAGCACCCTGTCACAGCGGCCATGGCAGGGTTCCCAGAACCGCCTTCCACCACTGTGCCCACAGCAAACACACAGGGGACACCTCATGAGTCAGGACCTGATGGATGGCTGAGAGTCTGCGCAGGGGGACCTGGCCACACATGGGGATGGGCAGAGATCGAAACAGCCTTGAGGGGAAGGGAGGATGTGGTGATTCCTATTGCTGTTGGATATTCAAGTAGCCTAGACCAACATTTCCTCAGCCTTGGGGAAGTGGGAGAGAAGCAGGAAGGATGAGGAAAAGCCATGGATAGACATTGTGGCACAACACAGTTTTTATTGCGATTTGGGAGGAGGAGACAGCTGGGAGAAGAGCGGGGTCCTGGCCAGGGCCTCTCCTTGTTTCTCGGTAGAGGGCAGAGTACAATGAGCATCAGCCATGCTGCAGGAGAAGGCACCCAGTGCGGGTTTGTCTAACCGTGGAGCAATGAGTCCTGAAGGGATGTTCAAGGTGGAGTGGTTCACTCCGGTGGCAGTTGTGAGAAATTTGGAATAGAGCTACAGAAATTTTGGGGATGGCAAGGGACCATCTTAGTTGCCTGCAGGTGCAAGATTACTTTGAAATAGTGGGGAAAGATAATTTAAAGAAATAATAAAGCCCGATTGTTTCGGAAAGATGTGTCAGGACAAAGAGAGTGAATGCAGGTTTTGGATCAAAAAAGTTGAAATTATGTTGTCATGATCAAAAAAAAAAAAAACCCCGTCATATTTTCCACTTTTTATAGTTTATTATGAGTATAGATCTTGAGGAGTGTGCTGGGGAAATCTGGGGAGAGTCCAAAGTAGTTTGGAGGAAATAAAGGAATTGGAGGAAAGAAATGTGTGTCCTCCCATCAAAACTGGAAGTCACACAGGTCTGCAAGGTGGGTATCCCTGAACCGCCATCTACATGACCCCCTGCACAGAACTCAAGTTTAGCAAAGTCCAGATAAAGTTTTTTGCCCAAGCTGGACGAACCTGAAACCGAGTATCTGGGGAGGGTTTCTTTAACAGGGTAGATGATTGAATCCTGCTGAGTGATGATGAGGTGGGGGGGTCTGGGGCCCCAGAGGGTTCTTAAATGACTGGCTGGTGGGCAACTAGTCGATAACATCTCGAGTGGTTTATTGGGGGTGTCGACCACAAGGAGAGGTGGGTTCCTGTTACTATCGAGGTAAAGGGATTATCAGAACTGGTGGAAGGATGCAAAAGGCTGCTTGTACTCAGGTGACGTATCGGACGAGGTGACACAGGACAGTGATTGCCACACTGGTGGACCCCAGTCACCTTAGACTAAAGAACAGGTGGGGCAAGTGGCCGACACTTGCAATGAGCCCTGCGTGCGGCAGTGCCCCGACTCCACGGTGGTGATCCAGCCCCCGGCCTCGGTGGTCACCTTCCCCGGGCCCATCCTCAGCTCCTTCCCGCAGCACAGCGCTGTTGGCTCAGCGGGAGTGCCCGCCGTTGGATCGGGCTTCGGCGGCAGTTTTGGAGGCCGCGGTGGCTCTGGGGGCTCTGGGGGCTGGGGCGGCTATTGGGGTTATGGAGACTCTGGGTTTTATGGGGGCTATGGAAGCTATAGATTTTTTTTAGAGGCTATGGTGGCTATGACAGTTGCAGAGGCTATGGGGGGTATAGATATGGTGTCAGGTACTGAGGCCGCAGGTAACTCAGTGTCAACTGTGGGTCCTGCTAAACCCCAAATATCCACCGAGTTCAGTGCTGCCTCTGCTGTTAGTCTCCACCAGCAGCTCCTCTTGTCCTCTGCCACCAGACCCCCAACAGGTGTTTCAGCCCCTCTCTAAGCTCTGGCAGAGCAGCTGCTCGAACCTTACAGTCCTTGCGTATTTGCAGAGTAGCCTTGCAGATCTTCAGGTGGCTGCTCTGGAGCTTCCAGCACCGCCCCCAAAAGCTCCCCTCTACCCATGAGAGAACAAAGCTGTGCTCGTCCTCGCGTGAGAGTCTCCCCAGCCCTGCCCGGCTCTGAGGCTGCCACAGGAAGGGGGAATCTTTGGAGTGGAGCCCTGGCTTGCGCCTTGCTGCATATTAACATTTTTACATTTCCAAACCATTGTTTCGGTGTCGTTTTGTTTCTGACACCACCGACTGCATTTTCCATCCGCATTAAAGAATCTGCATTACATGAACAATTTTTCCTTAGTCTAAATTTTTTCTTCGCTGTGATTGGAATTATGTCTGTAACTAAGTGATGGTGTGAAACTCTAGATGTTTGGGTTTTTTTTGGTTAAAAAAAAAATATTGTGGAATATCTGAATTTCTCTCAGAAAAGGCTTTAGAAATGCAAGGTACTGAAGTTCCTAGCAAATGATTAGCTTCATTACAAAAAACAGATTTCAAAGGTGTGATACCGCTTTCTGTTTTGTGAGGTCTATAGAGGAATGACAACTAGAACCCAAACTACTCTAGCGGCATATTTCTTTCCCATTTATTCGCCGCAACCTGTCCCCAACGGTCAGTCAGTGCTCGGGGTGATGCGTCGAGCGTACACCCTGCTATGCGGCTAGTGCCTTCCCAGTTGTCCTCACCCGTGGGCAGCCCAAGGGCATCCTTCCCCTGTGACCTCAGGAACGCTCCGCACGGCGTGTCAGAGGGCCGTGTGGGGGCCGCGCATTTCTCCACCCTGTCAGCTGCACCCAGATATTCATGTGTTGCTTCGGGCTTGGGGTGAAGGGCTGGAAAGTTGTTCTGTCCTGAGATGGATGTGACACATCAGGAGCTGAGCGTTACCCCAGCCCTTGCGGGGACCGTTGTTCCAAGCAGCAGGGACTCAGGTTCTTCCTGGGGGGTGTCAACTGTTGGACACATGTTTAATGAAATTGCGTAGAAAAGTATTACCGGGATTTTGTGACGTTCGCACTCAAAGAAGAAACATGGAGTACCGATGACCAAGGATAAATATACTATAAATTCAATTCATAATTAAAAGAAGAAGGAAATGTTGATGTGGTAATGAAAGCCAGAAGACATACTTTGATACAGAAAATTTATTTGAAAAGAGACAGCTTTTCTATAAATCTGGAACAAAATTGTGCAGGATATAAAGACCATCTTTCCAGGGGTTCAGTGAGGCTCTGGCTAATCACCAGACTCAAAGTGACGCAGTCTATAAAAAAATCATTTTTGTCCTTTGGCGCAGAGGCTGTGTGCAATTTCTAGCATCCTAAGTCACCTTCAGTTCAGTGTCAATAACTGAAATAAGACAAAGCACAGTAAGCAGACGACTAAACTGGAAAGCCAGAGGTTAACAGCTCTAAACTAAAGCCAAAACGCACACATGAGCCCGCCTTTTACAGGTGCTGAGTATTTGCAGCTCTCTTTTTTTTTTTTTTTTTTTTTTTTTTTTTTTTTTTTTTTTTCAAGCTGGAGCCGGACCACACGCAGCACTCTGGCTGGTGCCTATCAGCTTCGCCCCCAATTTGCGTCTCAAGTTTCTTCTGCTGCTTCTTTAAACTGCTCTGTGCACGCTCTGGCTGGGTTTAGTACGTCCACCGTTTCCCGGAGCGGTATGAATTGCATGGATGTGTCCATTGGGAGGAATAGGTGTAGGAATATTTAGGGGCACACCGTGGCTCAGGGCGGGCAATGACCTGGGGGGCAAGTTTCTCAACTGCTGCCTCCAGCCTCCCTGTCACTTCTGCTGGCAGAGGCGCTGCGGTGGAGGGCTCTGCCAGCGCCACCTCGGTGGGCTCTGAGGCTCCCACGACGGTTTGCTGTGGATAGGTGGTGAGGATGGGCCCTGGGAAGGTGACAACAACCGGTGGGGGGTATATAATCACCCGGGAGTCACCGCAGGCCACAACGCAGGGTTCATTGCTGCTGGTGGCCAGGGGCTGGGGGCATTTTGCTTCACAGGGGTTGGTGCATGCCAGCTGGTCGGAAGCCATCGCCTGGCTGTGGTAAGGGAGTGCCTGCAATTTATTTGCAGAATTAGAAAAAAAAAAAAACCAAACAAACCAAAACCAAACCAAAAAACAAACCAACAATCATGCTCTTGGTTAGAGATGCCTCTAAGATTAGCTCTGAGAGATCTTTAAGCGGAGAGAAATTGGATAAAGACAGCAGTTGGGCTCCTTTCTTTTTGTCTGCCCCCTTTTATTTAGCCTGCATCGATTTGCCCATTCCGAATTGCTGCTTTAAGCTTACTCACTTCTCTTCCTCCGGGAGCAAAAAGCCTCCCCCCCTTCTTTGCACGCCACCTCCAAAACAAACATCTGCTCTAAAACCTCCCAGTCCTTCGCAATAATTCCTGGAGACAAGCTTGAACTCGTTCCCACAGCATCCCTTTTCCTCCCACACACAGCTTCTCAGGGCAGCGCCTGCAGTTTGCATTTTGCGGGTGGGGCACAAGGGAGCGGGGAGGAGGGGGGGAGGCGGTGGTGGTGAAAATCTGCATTCTCAACAGATTTGAGTGTTGAGTAATCTGTTTAGCAGCCTGCTTAATTTTCGTTATTATTTTTCTTGCAGGTTCCTGTTGTTTTCCAGATACCAAAACGTTCCACTAAAACACAGGAAAATGGAAGGCTAGGAATATATATATATATATTTTTTAATACTGGTTTAATAAGTAAGATGCATAACTTAAAATATTTATACTGTGGTGGTATTGTCAACCCAGATAAGAGAACTGCATCTTCAGCTAAGGTACACACCTTTAATAGTGTTTATTTCTTTCTTCAGTTTAATCTTCACATAAACGCTGGTTTGCCGCGGTGTGGCATTACACTATTTATTTTTTTTTTAAAGTTGTAAATCAAAGATATCTTATAGCGATGAATAAGGCAAAAGGATAATTTTATTCTCCGTTAAATCCAGCGCGCTGCAGAATATTAGAACTGCTGTCCTTGGGAACGTTTGGAGGACAAAGACTAGGGGACATGGCAGCTTTGCAGTACTCCTTACAATTAGTAAACAGAAAATGCAGAATGTTCCTAAGGTGGGTGGGGGGTAATTCGGAGCCAATTCTCTCAAATCAGTAAGTCTTACCTATGGAGAAGTAGTATACAGGATCCTAAAATATGTCGCCAGTGACACACTCTAATAAATAAACTATTATTGCCGAGCTTAAAGTAAAAATACCCCGAAAGCTCCTTTTTCCTCCACTTCGGCAGCTCAGCGCTATTTAGCACCAGGTGCCAGCAGCACGCTGGCGCAAGACAACGAGCTCTTTGATGTATTTACTTTTCTCGGCTCTATTCAGAGGAAAGCAAAAGTATCCTTAAATATATCACGCTGGAAAAAGGAAAAAAAAAGG